TTCTAGTCTTTGATGCATTTTGACTTTATTTTTGTCTATGGCGAAAGATAACGGTCCACTTTCATTCTTTTGCATGTGGCTATCCAGTTTTCCCAACACTGTTTATTGAAGAGACTTTCCTTTCTCCTTTGTATGTTCTTAGCTCCTTTGTTGAAGATTAGCTGTATGTAGATGTGTGGTTTTATTTCTGGGCTTTCAATTCTATTCCATTGATCTATGCACCTGTTTTTGTACCAGTACCATGCTGTTTTGATTACTGTAGCTTTGTAGTATATTTTGAAGTAAGGGATTGTGATGCCTCCAGCTTTGTTCTCTTTTCTCAGGATTGCTTTAGCTATTTGTGGTCTTTGGTTGCCCATATGAATTTTAGGATTCTTTGTTCTACTTCCATGAAGAATGTCATTGGGATTCTGATTGGGATTGCATTGAATATGTAGATTGCTTTAGGTAGTATGGACATTTCAACTATGTTTATTCTTCCAATCCATGTGCATGGAATATCTATCCATTTGTTTATATCATCATCGATTTCTCTCAATAACGTCTTATAGTTTTCATTGTATAGGACTTTCACCTCCTTGGTTAAATTTATTCCTACATATTTTATTCTTTTTGTAGCTATTGTGAAAGGTATTGTGTTCTTGAGTTCTCTTTCTGTTAGTTCATTATTAGAGTATAGAAATGCAACCTATTGTTGTAAGGTGATATTGTACCCTGAAACTTTGCTGTAGTTTTTGTTTATTTCTAATAGTTTTCCAATGGATTCTTTAGGGTTTTCTGTATATAAAATGATATCATCTGCAAACAGCAAGAGTTTCACTTCTTCATTGCCTGTTTGGATTCCTTTTATTGCTTTTTCTTGCCTAATTGCTCTGGGCAAAAGCTCCAGTACTATGTTGAATGGTGAGAGTGGTGAGAGTGGGCACCCTTGTCTTGTTCCTGTTCTCAGAGGGATGGCTATTCAGTTTTTCCCCATTCGGTATGATGTTGGCTGTGGGTTTGTCATATATAGACTTTATTATGTTGAGGTACTTTCCTTCTGCACCCATTTTATTGAGAGTTTTTACCATAAATAGATGTTGGATCTTGTCAAATGCTTTCTCTGCATCTAGTGAGATGATCATCTGGTTTTTATTCCTCATTTTGTTAATGTGGTGTATCACATTGATTTGTGGATATTGAACCATACTTGTGTTTCTGGTATAAATCCCACTTGATCATGGTGTATGATCCTTTTAATGTACTGCTGGATTCAGTTTGCCAATATTTTGTTGAGGATTTTTGCATCTATGTTCATCAGCAATATTGGCCTGTAAATTCTCCATCTTTGTGTTGCCCTTGCCTAGCTTTGGTATCAGGGTGATGTTGGCCACATAGAATGTGTTAGGAAATGTTCCATCTTCCTCAAATTTTTGGAATACTTTGAGAAGGATAGATAGTAAATCTTCTTTGAATGTTTGGTAGAATTCTCCAGAGAAGCCGTTTGGTCCTGGACTTTTATTTTTGGGGAGGTCTTCGATTACCGTTTCAATCTCTTTACTTGTGATTGGTCTATTCAGATTCTCTATTTCTTCTTGATACAGTTTTGGGAGGTTGTATGAGTCTAAGAGTTTATCCATTTCTTGTAGATTGTCCAATTTGTTGGCATATAGTTTTTCATAGCATTCTCTTATAATCTTTTGTATTTTTTGTAGTATCCATTTTAATATCTCCTCTTTCATTTCTATTTTATTTATTTAAGCCTTCTCTCTTTTTTTCTTAGTGAGTCTGGCTAAGGGTTTGTCAATTTTGTTTATCTTTGCAAAGAACCAGCTCTTTGTTTCACTGATCTTTTCTACTCTCTTTTTGTTTCAATTTCATTTATTTATGCTCTAATTTTATTATTTCCCTCCTTCTGCTGACTTTGGGCTTTGTTTGTTCTTCTTTCTCTAATTCTATTAAGTGTAGTTTGATTGCTTATTTGAGATTTTTCTTGTTTGTGAAGGTGGGCCTGTATTTCTATGAATTTCTCTCTTAGGACTGCTTTTGCTGCATCCCATATGAGTTGGTATGGTGTGTTTACATTTTCAATTGTCCATAGATATTATTTGATTTCTCTTTTAATTTCTTCAATGATCCATTGGTTGTTCAGTAGCATATTGTTTAGTCTCCATATCTTTGTCCCTTTCCCAGCTTTTTTCTTTAGATGATTTCTAGTTTCATGGCATTATGGTCAGAAAAGATGCTTGATATGATTTCAATCTTTTTAAATTTATTGAGACTTGCCTTGTTTCCCACCACACGCTCTATCCTTGAGAATGTTCCATGTGCACTTCAGAAGAATGTGTATTCTGCTGGTTTTGGATGGAGTGTTCTATATATATCTACAAAGTCCACCCAGTCTAGTTTTTCATTTAATTCCACCATTTCCTTGTTGACTTTCTGTCTGGATGATCTAGCCAATGACAGAAGTGGGGTGTTGAGATCCCCACTTTTATTGTGTTGTTCTTAATATCTTGTCTAAAACAGACATTTTAGGTTTGTTAATAGTTACCTTGTGTACTTTGTTGCTCCTGTGTTGGGTGCATAAATATTTGTGAGTGTTATGTCTTCATGGAGTGTCCCTTTTATCATTATATACTGCCCCTCTTTGTCTCCTTTATCTGTTTTATCTTGAAGTCTACTTTGTCTGATATAAGTGGCAACACCTGGTTTCTTTTGTTTGCTATTAGCTTGGAGTATCATCTTCCATCCCTTCACTCTGAGCCTGTGTTTGTCTTTAGAGTTGAGATGTGTTTCCTGGAGGCAGCATATTGTTGGGTATTGTTTTTTAATCCATCCCACCACTCTGTGTCTTTTGATTAGAGAATTCAATCCATTTACATTTAGAGTGGTTAATGATATATGAGCACTTAATGCTGCCATTTTATCACTTGTTTTCCAGTTCTTCTGCATTTCCTTTGTTTCTCATCCCATGTATTTCAGACTACCAGTTCGGTTAGGTAGTTTTCTATGATGGTTTTCTTAGTCTTCTCCTTATTTATCATTTGTGTCTCTATTCTAATTATTTGTTTAGTGGTTACCATTAGGTTTGTATAAAAAATCTCATAGATGAGATAGTCCATTTTTGATAGCCTCTTATTTCCTTAGACTAAGCCAATTCCATCCCTATATCTTCCCCTTCTAAGTTGTTATTGCCACACCTTATTCCATCTTGTGTTGTGAGTTTACTGTTAAAATGATGAGATTGTGTTTATTTTTGGTGTTTTCTTACCCTTTATCTTTAAAGTTATAATTGTTTGCTAACCTGTTCTGATAGAGAACTACAATTTTCTGATTTTGCCTACCTATTTATCTCCTTGCTCAGAGCTTTGTAACCCCTTTCCTTTTTTTTTTTCTCCAGATATGAGGGGCTTCTTGAGGATTTCTTTTTTTTTTTTTTAAAGATTGGCACCTGAGCTAACATCTGTTGTCAATCTTCTTTTTTTTTTTTTTCCTTTTTCTTCTCCCCAAAGTCCCCCAGTACATAGTTGTATATTCTTCTGGTTGTGCTATGTGGAACACTGCCTGAACATGGCCTGATGAGTGGTGCCATGTCTGCACCCAGGATCTGAACTGGAGAAACCCTGAGTGTGCAAATTTAACTAGCTGGCCATGGGGCCAGCCCCTGTTGAGGATTTTTTGTGTGTGTCAGGGGGTCTTGTGGCAATGAACTCCCTTAGCTTTTGTTTATCTGGGAAAGTTTTTACTTCTCCATCATATGTGAAGGATATTTTCACTAGATAGAGTATTCTTGGCTGAAAGTTTTGTCATTCAGAATTCTGAATATATCCTCCCATTCTTTCCTAGCCTGTGAGGTTTCTGCTGAGAAATCTGCTGAAAGCCTGATAGGGGTTCCTTTGTAAGTTTTCTTCTGCCTTGCTGCCTTTAATACTTTTTCTTTGTTGTTGACTTTTGCCAGCTTTACATATGTTTTGGAGAAGGTCTTTTAACATTGATATAGTTAGGAGATCTATTGCTACTTTCACTTTTAGTCCCAGCTCTTTCCCCAGGTTTGGGAAGTTCTCAGCTATTATTTCTTTGAACAAGCTTTCTGCTCCATTCTCTTTCTCTTCTCCCTCTTGAATATCAATAATCCTTATGGTGCATTTCCTAATTGAGTCAGATATTTCTTGGAGAATTTCTTCATTTCTTTTTAGTCTTAATTCTGTCTCCTCCTCCATCTGAAGCATTTCTATATTTCTGTCCTCAAGACTGCTGTTTCATTCCTTCATATCAGCTCAATTGTTTGTGTGTCCAGATTTTTCTTTACCTCATCCACTGTGTTTTTCATCTCCAATATTTCTCATTGCTTCTTCTTTATAGTTTCAATCTCTTTTGTGAAGAAGTTCCTGATTTCACTGAACTGTCTATCTGTATTTTCTTGTAAGTTGGTGAGTTTTTTTCAAAATAGCTATTTTGAATTCTCTGTCATTTAGATTATAAATTTCTGTATCTTTAGGGTTGGTTTCTGGGTACTTGTCATTTTCCTTCTGGTATGGAGATTTAATATATTTTTTCATATCGCTTGATAGCATGGATTTGTGCCTCCACATAGTGATAGCATCTGGCTGCAGCTTCCACCTCCCACCACTGGGTGGGGGGCAGAATCTGTGTATTCTGAGCCCACCACAATCCATGGCTCACTTGCTCCAGCTGCTGGCTGCTTTTCTATCTGTGCAGCGCTCCAGCCAACCGGCTAAGCTGGAGCACCAGATGGGAGGAGAGGTGCTTTCTTTCGCCTGCACAATCCCAGGGGCTTCTCACTCTGCCCTCACTATCTGCTCTTCTGGGGTTCTAGCTTGATGAAGACACCCTCACAATAGCCTAGTTACCTCTGTGTGGGGCTTTCCCACAGGCTACAAGGGAACTTGAAAAGTGATGGTGTTCCCACAAAGGGCTACCCCTCTCCCCTCTCCTCTCAGAGCCACATGCACTCCTGGGATCGCTGTCATTCAGGAGGAATAGAAGATTACCCTTACCTCCTTCCACTTCCTTTGTGGGGTCCAGCATCTCCACTTTCAGATGTATGGCTGTGGGGGTCTCTTAGATGTCTTTTGTCTTGTGTGAATGTCCTCTGTTGGTATGTGAATGTCCTTTTCACTGTTTCTTAGAGGGGAGAGTCTAAGGGGAGAGCTCATTCCACCAGGATGCTGATGTCACTTCAAGACCAAGACTTTTACACAGAAGTTAATGTTGCATTCAGATAAGTCATGAAAAACTTCAACTATTTAAAAATATACATAATTACATATATGCATATTATGACATTGTTTTTTATCACAGTTTGGTTCATATTATGCTATATGCCATATTGCTCATATTTATTTTTAAAAGCTATGGTCCAATTTCCTTTGTTCCTCTTTGTAATGTCTTAGTTTGCTCAGGCTACTATCATAAAATCCCATAGACTATGTGGCTTATAAACAATAGAAATTTATTTCTTGCAATTCTGGAGGCTAGAAAGTCCAGGATCAAGGCACTGGCAGAGTTGGCATCTGGTGAGAGCCTGCTTCCTAACTCACAGATAGCCATCTTTGTGCTGTGTCCTCACATGGCAGGAGACATGTGTGATCCCTCTGGGGTCTCATTTATAAGAGCACTAATTCAGACCCTTCATGATGTATTCACCTGCCAAAGTTCCCACCGAAAATACCATCACACTGGGGATTAGGTTTCAACCTATGAATTTTAGGGGGACACAAACCTTCTAAAAAATTGTCCTGAGGCTCAAGTTTCTTGTGTTTTCCTGTTTCTGAGATTTTTCTGCCTCACCTAAGGGTTCTACTTTTTGCTTCCCAACCTGGGTGTTAAAGGGTTCTCAACAATAAAATTCTGAGTCAGGGGCTGTGGAATGGAACCAGCCAGAAGAGCCTGAGTGAAGGCAGTGGACATCAGGTTTTGAGTTAGGAGAGCAGTAGCCAAGGATATCCCAGAACATACTGCCTCTACCTTTGGCAACTTTGAAGAAGAAACTTCCAGCTGGACCATTACTAATTTTGTTCTCACTTATTCTTACAGAATAATAGATGTTAGATCTATTTTTTTCTAAAAAGAGAAGGATATTTCTTAGTAGCATCACTTGTGATGTATGTTACTGCCATTGTTCTCTTGATCTTCATCACAATCAGAATTAGTGTCTAGCCTTCCATGACTTGAACATTTCCTATAGATCCTTCTTATACCTCCCTGGAACTCTATTTGCCCCAATAGGTAATTAGGTCACCTCTTTTGTAAATAAGTAGAATAGTGAATGCCAAAAATTCATAAGAATCGCCAGATAATTATTAAAAGTACAAAACAACAGTTTCCACCTCTGACCTACTGAATTAAAATCCATAGGAAGGACACAGGAATCTTTACTTTTAATAGGAACCCCAAGAGATATTTTCATTAGTTAACTTTAGGATACACTGCAGAAAGTCATAGTGCTTCTGATTATATACATGGTGACCATATAGTTTATCATCCAAACAGGACACTTTTGTAAGTGAAAGCAGGGCTATTAGTAATTCATCGGCCCAACTGGCAAAAACTGGGACAATTCTGGGCAAATCAGGACATATAACCATCTTAGTTATAGATCACCATCTTCATCTCCACCTAGATCCTTTATTTATTTTTGCAACAGTTTTATGGAGATATAATTCATATACCATGCAATTCATCCATTTAAAATGTCCAACTCAATGTTTTTTAATATATTCAGAAAGCTTTGCAACCATCACCACAATCAATTTTAAAACATTTTCATCATCCACGAAAGAAACTCTGTATCCTTTAGCAGTCACCCTCATCTCCCCATGCCCCTTCCCAAGTCCTAAGCAACTGCTCACCTATTTTCTGTCTCTGTAGATCTGCTTATTCTTGAAATTTCCTATAAATGGAATCATACAATATGTGGTCTTTTATGACTCACTTCTTTCACTTAGCATAATGTTGTCAAGGTTCATCCATGTTATAGCATATATCAGTACTTCATTACTTTTTATTGCCAAATACTATTCCATTGTATGGATATACCACATTATATTTAACCATTCATCAGATGATGGACATTTGGGTTGTTTTCACTTTTTGGCTATTATGAATAATGCTGCTATGAATATTTGTGTACAAGTTTTTGTGTGGACATGTTTTCAGTTCTCCTGCATATATATCTATGATAGCCCTCTTGTCACCCCTAACTTGGAAGATTCTAATAAATAGTTTTCATACAAGCCTTGTAGAAGAGGAAAAAATCAGTAAGAAGGATTGAAAGACAGAAAATTATGTTATTTAGATTAGGTGAAATAGATATTTTGTTTTTAAAAAACATTTATGCCCTTTCTAGCAATGACTCAAATACTTGTTCAGAAATTAGAGTGGTTGAGAAAAAGACACAGATGGAGATCAGCAAATCCTTTTGCTTAAGGATCAGCAAAAATCCCTACTGGGCTACCAAGGGTCCTTCTTTCAGAGTTTAAAGTCATTCATCTAAGATCAGATGGACTAATACATCAAAGCTAATATAGCAATTGCAAAAAGCTCCTGGGTCTTTGTTCTCTGACCAAATATTTGCATTCTGTGTGCTGAATCAAGACTTTTAATTTCTAGTGTTAATGGTTTACTCACTGATGACTTCTTTAATTTGGTCTTTTCCTTTAAAATCCATTACACAGGGAGGCTGAGTTTTCAGAAAATGTGTTTAACCTTATAAAGATCTACACATAGGTATAATGGTCTTTTGTGAGGAGAGACACAGTAAAGTTAGTTGTGTTAAAGTAAAATCAATACCTACAGAAGAGAATATTAGAAAGGAAACTGCTGATTTTCCTTCCCTCTTTCTTTTTTCCGGTCTCTAGTCTTTGCAAGTTTGGAACTCTAGAAATCATTACGTTATAAAAGTCTCCAGGTTTCCATTCTAATGGGTTCCAGGTTTTCCTGCTATGGGGATGAAACTAGCAGACTTAGTAAATCCTTATTTATTTGTCCCAAAGGCCAGGCAGTGCTCTTTCTTCTCTGGTGCTGGTTTATATTCATTCACTGCCTCTTCTCAGGTTCTTTTGCTGCCCATCATTAATCTTTCAAGCTACAGCAGGGTGGGTTCAGAACAAAACCATCAGAGGAACTGAAAAATGAAATATTTACCTGCATCAATGGGGAGAAAAGACCTATCTACCTTGTCCTTTCAATGCAATCACATTTTTATTTTATTTTATTCACTTTCTAGATAGAAGACAGGATACATATATACACTCATATATATATATATATATATATATATATATATATATTTCCTCTCTGTGTTAATATATTTTTTTTTACTATCTATCCTCCTTTGTAATGAGGTGTAATATATAGAGCTCAGTTAGTTACCATGGAGACATGGTCCTCTGTTTCTTATCACAGAGCCACACTATCGTCTGGTGTCAGCCAAGGAGGGATGACAAAGGCCTCCCCAAGAGCCTAGCTCTGCAATTACTGAGCAATCAAGCGCCTCTTTTAATAGAGCACATCCAGGTATACATGGCTCCTTGCTCAGCACTGTCTTCTCTTCTTCCCTTTTAAACTTACATAGCAGGATGCAGTTACTGAGTATAGATATCTTCCTCTGTTAGATGGCCTGTTTATTCAAGATTTCAATGATATTCTTTGGTTTCTGTAACAGAGATCACTAGCTACTATCCTCCTTATTTTTAAATCTCCTATATTTTTTATTTTAACAAGTATTATTCTCTTCCGAGGACATACAGTTACCTTCCCTTTAATTGCATTAATCTGTTTTTATGGTTTATCATTAACTGATGAAATGAAGGAGTGTATAAATGAAAATCACAGTCTCAAAATTTTCTTAGTCTAGACTTTTCCCTAATTTCTCTATCTGAATTGCTACAGCTATCAACAAAAAATTTAAAACTTGAATGACTGCTGTTCATTCTTCATCTTCTGGTAGTAATAGAAATGAGAAGGAAATGAATCAAAGGCATAGAATAGGAGAAACAAAAGGCCTAATTTTTCTTCAAGGATTTTTAACTTATTTGAGGGTTGGTGTAACTTCTCCAGATTTGACTTGGATGCTCAGACTCAGCTGTTCTAAACTCACTTGGAAATTTGGGGTGAAATGGGGAATGGAGGATACCCTGAGGCATTCAAATTGGCTTGGATCTATTATTGTAGATAGGCTTCTTACAATAACAGCTAAGTTTTTCCCTGTGTGGTATCTATAATGTTATAAAATATACAATTGTCTTTGACTCAGTTCTAAAGGTCCAGAACTTTGCTAAGATGCCATTTTCTCCAAAGAAGGAGGAATGTTCAGGTGTTTTAAAAGCATGATGATGGTTGGAGTGGGGAGAGATGAAAACAGTGAAAAATTAAAAATGTATGACATGATCACTGCTCTGAAAAAACTTAAAAGCTAATTGGGAAAACAAGCCTTTAAACTTATGGACAAGGCTCAATAATATAAATTAAACAGCAAAAAGCATACAACAGCATAGTGAGCGGAAGAAAAAAGATCAATCGAGTCCAGAGTTAGTAAGATTTATTGGAAGAGGTAAGATTTAAGATTGGTCTTGAAGGATGGAACAAGAGAAAAGGAAAAAGGATTCTAGGCAAGGGAAGTAACAAGAGTTAAAATGTGGCGGTGGGAATGGTCATGGTCTTCTCAGAGGATAATGATAATGTTAGCATCACTGAAGCAAACCATTCTTGAGTTTCAAGAAAATTTCTAGAATCAGTTCAGGTGATGATGTTAGTTTCCTCGTATTATACCACGCCTCCCCCCCGCCAGCCCCACAAAGGTGTTTCCTTTCTCCCTTCACTAGAAAAGAAAGAAAGGACCAGGGGGGCTGGCCCGGTGGCGCTGCGGTTAAGTTCGCACGTTCCGCTTCTCATTGGCCTGGGGTTCGCCGGTTCGGATCCTGGGTGCAGACATGGCACCGCTTGGCACACCAAGCTGTGGTAGGCGTCCCACATATAAAGTAGAGGAAGATGGGCACGATGTTACCTCAGGGCCAGGCTTCCTCAGCAAAAAAGAGGAGGACTGGCAGTAGTTAGCTCAGGGCTAATCTTCCTCAAAAAAAAAAAAAAAAAAAAAAAAAAAGAAAGGAAAGAAGGAAAAGAGAAGGGGGGGAGAGAGGCAGACAGGGACAGAGTGGAAGGAGGGGGAGTAGGAGGAGGGGAGCAGGAGAAAGTGAGGGAGGGAGGGAGAACAATTGCATTCAAAGTGAATAAAGAAATGAAAAGCAGAGA